AATAACCCAACGTCCTTTTGCAGATTAAAAAAATCATCATGGAAGGCACTAGAAGAGATGATGATGCTGTTTAAAGGATGGGTTGACATTTCAAATGATGAGAATCAACCAAGCAATTGAACTACACACATCTGTTTAAAAAAAAAATCAACCCTGAAAATATACACACTAAAATTTTGCAAAAAATTTAAAGTAGTCACTATACAAATATATTTATAGCATCTTCATTAGGTAAGATTTACTGTATACATTCTATATAGTAGACATTTCAATCCATTAAGCCTTAAAACAAGGTAGTTACTACTCCCATCTTAGAGTTAAGAAAACTGACACTCAAAAAGGTCACAACATTGAAACTCAAACCCAGATTTGCCTACCTCTGTTCACTACATTTTATCACCTCAGCCATATGGAAACTGATCAAATGACCAACAACAGTGGAAGGTCAGGTAAATTATATTACATTTACTTAATGTAATGTTACGCTACTATTAGAAATTATAGGCTGGGCAAGGTGGCTCACACCTGTAATCCCAGCACTTTGGGAGGCCATGGCAGGCAGATCACCCAAGGTCAGGAGTTTGAGACTAGACTGGCCAACACAGTAAAACCCCATCTCTACTAAAAATACAAAAATTAGTTGGGTGTCGTGGCATGTGCCTGTTATCCCAGCTATTTGGGAGGCTGAGGTAGGAGAATCGCTTGAACCTGGGAAGCAGAGGTTGCAGTGAGCCGAGAACATGCCACTGCACTGCAGCCTGGGAGACAGACGGGACTCCATCTCAAAAAAATAAAAAATAAAAAAAGGTAAAAATTATAAAGGTAATTTTTTGCTATCCAGATCACTATGGAATATTAATCTCTTCCTTGGCTAAACACTTTACATACATTATCTCATTTAATCTTTTCTCAACAGTTTTTTGAAGTAAATATTTCTATTATCATCATTTCAGAGACAGAGAAACAAAGGCTTAAGTATTAAGATGACTTTACCTGAAAAAATAGCAGAGCTAGCAGAGAAAACCAGGTAAGCTTGACCCCAAAGCCCATTTTCTTAATCATTAAACTGTATTATTAGACAGTAGCTGCCTGATATAAAGTTGGTAGAGGGCCTCGAATAATTATAACTCTTTCCTTCTGAGTCTTGCATTAAAGAAAATGAGACCACAAAAGCGCACTTCAAAGTTAAAATGAATAGCCCTGGTATTAGTGGTCTCTGCTTTAGGACAAATAATTTCTCATTTGATTCAAAATAGTATTTATTTAAACCACAGAAACTGTATGCATTTCTTCTGTGTTTTTCTAAAATGCTTTTAATTTTTAAAAATCAAGTTTTGACCAGATTTCTTTTTATCTTTACAAATAGTGAATTGTGTTGCCATTTTTGCTAGTAGTGAAATAGTTAAATCCTGAGGGTACACCCTGGTGGGTAACTCCCTCAACCATCTAAAGAGAGAGAAAGAGATAAAAAAAAAAAAAAAAAGGTCACAGTCAGTTACTCCCATTAGACCAGTGTTCATGAGAACATCTGTAGGCACACATACACACTCTCTTTACACTCAGCCTTCTGCTTGCCACAGTCATAGTGCGCAGTCAGTGAATCTTCCCCAGGTGCTGACAATTAATACCTGGTTTAGCGGCAAAGATTCAGAGAGGCGTGAGCAGCCCCTCTGGCTTTCAGGTAGGTCTGATACCTTCATTTCTACCAGAGCTAAAAAATGGGAGCCTATGTTCATAAACTTCAAGGGAATGAAGATGCCACACTTCAGCAGTGTGTTAGTTACAAATGGATTTGATATCTAGATAGGGAAGGGATGAGTAGAATTTGGAAAATGTGGGGCTTTCTGTTCTCTGGCAGCTTCAGGGATTTAATTCTTAGGCCTTCAGAGCACTATTATTAATCTTAGTACATAAATCGTTCTCTGGCCTAAGTATAGGAAGGAAGATCTAATCCTGCTTTTACTGCCAGCAAAAATAAAATAATGTATGCCTCAAACCTGATTAACAGTGCAAGATAGTGTTATTCACACATTAAATGCCTGAAGTTACTTACATGAGGTTACCTGCTACTCTGGAGCAATCAGGAAAACATGGCCAGCACGGATCAGCAAGATTTAATGTTTCAGAGTACAGTATCTTTCTTTGGAAAAGAAAAAGTCGGTTCAGATGTGGGGAACTATAAACCCAGACCTCATACCATGAGTCCTTTTATTATACTCAACTATGCCCTAGCATCACAGTGAATAAATGAAAATCTCCCTGCTGAAGAATGTTAGCATGGGGTTGGGAAAATTGTATATATTTATTGGTCCTATATTTCTGTCCTTTACAAAGAATCTTTAATGTGTTGACCTTGAAACCTCCCTCAGCTGAAGAACACGGTCTTATTTTTTTTAAATCTGTCTATTTTATATAGCCTATTAAAAGGAAAATACTTCAGTAGGTTATTTTAGATATAGTATAATCATTCAAAAACTCTTAAAAAACCAAGATGTGACTAATACAGTCATATTGAAACCATGGAAGAGAAACAATAGTCTACTCCAGTGAAAAATATATCAAGTCAATAAAGCAAAATTTCAAAAACTAAATGGGTAAAACAATGTGAAAACACTTTCCATAGTCCTGTTTATTCTTTAAATGCATATATCATCTGGTTAAAGTGAGTAATCTAAAAATTACTCACACTTGAACTGTGTTACAAGAGGAGGTAATTCATCTTAGCAATAAGAAACTTTACCACTGTTTTTAGGGCCTTGAAATTATGAAATGAGCCAAAAGCAGGGCATCAAAGGGAAAACAGGTCAAAAGCCCTATTTCAAAAATCTTTAGGGGCCTAGACTAAGTTACAAAAATGGACAATCCTCCTTACATCTTGCCCAAGAAAATGTTTCTGTGTAATCTACAATAATCATGTTTTCACTTATGAGAAGCCAAAATTCCTACAGCAACCTTAAAGTGAAACCAAAGGGCGACAATGAAAACACTGTTTTGAAAGCAAGTGTTCTTGAAAAATCCCACAAAGAGATTTTTCAAGTGGTAATGGAATCCATTACCACTGTATGGCTTGCCTTGTATCTCAGAAGCAGTCACCACAGGTATTTGAAACAAGCTGGCCTTGGCTTCGGTGTTCCCCCTACCCAAATTGGAACAACTCTCTGATCATAATCACTCAGGCTGAGTGTAATCACCTACAGTGTTCTGAAGTGAGGGTCAATAAGGTCTCCTGTTAGCTTCTATGACTAGCATTTTTCATAGTTGCTCAGATGCCTTCACTCATGTAGGCTTGGGTAGGCCATGAAATAAAACACTGCCCAGATTATTTTTAAGCAGGACAGGTTGCTGAATGTACAACTGAGGGAGAGGGGCTTGCTTTCATAACTTTGATAATCACGCTTCTCAGACACCATTTCCTCACCTGCTTTAATAACCCACCAGATAACTGTTAAAAGATCACCCCCTTAGGAGTCTCCCAAGTAGACTAAAAATATTAACTACAAGAGATTATTTAGCAGTAAATTGCAGCTGATCTACAGAAGTTCTTAAAGCAAAAAAAAAAAAAAAAAAAAAGAAACCCACCGACATCTCATTAGTGACCAGAGATTCTAAATAGTTCAAGGAATCTTTGCAGAAGGAATAAAGATAAATTAGATAAATTATAGTACCAACTAACATTTATTGAGTGTTTATGTGCCAGGCACTGTTCTATTTGACTTACACATGCTATCCCATGTATTTCTCAAAACAGCCCAGTGAATAGATACCAAGATTATCCCCATTTTGCAGATAAAAATAACAGAGAGAAAAATAACTTGCCCAAGGTGGTTACACAGCAACTAAGTGTTAGAGCCTAATTTGGACTCAGAGAATTCAACTTTAGGGCCTGCATATTTAATGAAGGTTAGACAAAGGGTGACAAAAGAATAAAATATTAACTATCTTCTGTTAATAAATTAACTACTACCAGCACCCTCATCATATATGTTTATCCAATTCTTTTTAGTTCAAATGTTTCTCTCTCTATACCCATTGACCTGATTCCCAGATCCTAAAGCCCCTTCTCATCCTCTCCAACCTTATCAACTGCCATTACTGGCAGGTGCGTATGCACTAGACCTTATTTTTTGGTAAATTTTTTAAAAATCATAATAATAACTATCATCTACTGTGTGCAAATCCCTGTTCTAAGTACTTTACGTACATTCAACTATTAATCATAACGGACATCAATATACGAGGTTGGTAAAATTATTATCTCAGTTTTCAGATGAGGAAACTGAGGCACACAGAAGTTAAAGAACTTGCCCAAAGTCATGTAGTTAGTGGCAGCGCCAGGATTTGAATCCAGCCAGTAAGCATTCAGAGTCCATACTCTTAGCCATTGTTTATACCACTTTTGAACCACATTAAGAATTAACTCTTAAAAGTCAAGTATTCTGTACTATTTTGTTTCCTTTAATATTTGGTGCACAGGACTTCACACTGCAAACAGGCAGTGTATTCCACATCTCTCTAAGGTAAACAATAATAAAATAGAAATTTATCAAGCTTCTTTCATCTAGTAAATATTCTTTTTGTTGTAACACAAGTATGAAATCCTGAATAATTCAAACATTTCGCTTCTTAGTCCCTGCTTTCTTACTACAGAATTATTAAAGAATTACCTAAAAGTTTTTGGACTGGAAAGATGTGAAAAAGCCACTAACTCTATTTTCCTAGAATTAAGATGAAAAGGAGATGTGTTTAGGAACCTTCTCTGCTTCCCTAAAAGAACCCTAAAAACAGTAGTAAAAAACAGTGAAGAAAACAAAGGGCCTTTAAAGTGCACTCCTTAAAACCTAGTAACTGTATTTCAATTACTAAATGTAGAAGTGGTAAAAATCATTAACAGGCAAAGTCTCCCCTGCACTCGAGGGATTCAAAGACCCATCTTTCGGTTCTGTAAGACAGTCACGGCTTTTGTAACCTCGGTGACCCCTTCAACCTCCCGCCCCAAGCACCTCCGAGGTCCTCAGGGGTGTAATTTTGAGTCGCGCTCGTAAGCATCCAGATAGGCAGGACACCGTAACGACATCTCTGCCGGGAGTCCCTTCAGACTGCGGTCTCCAGGCAACCGCACTCCAACAGAAGCAGTTGTGCTTCCTACCAGGTCACCTGTTCAAAAGTCCCCAGGAGAGGCTCCAACAATACCAGGGTAGCGGTTTGCCCGACACCGCTCCGGGCGCTGCAGCCTTCCGGCAACCCGGATGTTGGGTCGGTGTAGCCACTCTCACCTCCCATTCCCTAGTTTTCCTCCTTGGCTCCTATCTAGTCACTTCGCACCTTCCGCTAGTCTTTATTCAGAGACACATTCCAGGAGTCCTCTCTCCCAGAGCAACAAAGACAGATTTCCAAAGCGACACGTCCCAGAGAAAATGGATTCTTGGGAAATGTGGTTCTTTCAGCAGACGCGTGGTGACTCTTTAAGGAAAAGGACTACAATTCCCAGAAATCCTAGGGAGCATAGTTCGTGGCTAAAACATGTCCCAGCTCCTTGGACGGCATGGCAGTAAAGTTCTGTGGCTCTTTACTGACCTAACTCCTTGGATTTTCCTCATTCAGTCCCACTGCAAGCGTGTGGGAGTACTTTAAAAAAATGCTATTTACATGTGAAGGAATCTAAATACGATGATTTGTATGAAGCGATCTCTAATTTTATTTTATAATTCTTTCAGACAAAAATCTACATACCATCAGAAAATATGTCTCTGCAGATGGTAACAGTCAGTAATAACATAGCCTTAATTCAACCAGGCTTCTCGCTGATGAATTTTGATGGACAAGTTTTCTTCTTTGGCCAAAAAGGCTGGCCCAAAAGATCCTGTCCCACTGGAGTTTTCCACTTGGATGTAAAACATAACCATGTCAAACTGAAGCCTACAATTTTCTCTAAGGATTCCTGCTACCTCCCTCCTCTTCGCTACCCAGCCACTTGCACATTCAAAGGCAGCTTGGAGTCTGAAAAGCATCAATACATCATCCATGGAGGGAAAACACCAAACAATGAGCTTTCAGATAAGATTTATGTTATGTCTATTGTTTGCAAGAACAACAAAAGGGTTACTTTTCGCTGCACAGAGAAAGACTTGGTAGGAGATGTTCCTGAAGCCAGATATGGTCATTCCATTAATGTGGTGTATAGCCGAGGGAAAAGTATGGGTGTTCTCTTTGGAGGACGTTCATACATGCCTTCTACCCACAGAACCACGGAAAAATGGAATAGTGTAACTGACTGCCTGCCCCATGTTTTCCTGGTGGATTTTGAATTTGGGTGTGCTACATCATACATTCTTCCAGAACTTCAGGATGGGCTATCTTTTCATGTCTCTATTGCCAAAAATGATACCATCTATATTTTAGGAGGACATTCACTTGCCAATAATATCCGGCCTGCCAACCTGTACAGAATAAGGGTTGATCTTCCCTTGGGTAGCCCAGCTGTGAATTGCACAGTCTTGCCAGGAGGAATCTCTGTCTCCAGTGCAATCCTGACTCAAACTAACAAGGATGAATTTGTTATCGTTGGTGGATATCAGCTTGAAAACCAAAAAAGAATGATCTGCAACATAATCTCTTTAGAGGACAACAAGATAGAAATTCGTGAGATGGAGACCCCAGATTGGACCCCAGACATTAAGCACAGCAAGATATGGTTTGGAAGCAACATGGGAAATGGAACTGTTTTTCTTGGCATACCAGGAGACAATAAACAAGTTGTTTCAGAAGCATTCTATTTCTATACATTGAAATATGCTGAAGATGATACGAATGAAGAGCAAACAACATTCACAAACAGTCAGACATCAACAGAAGATCCAGGGGATTCCACTCCCTTTGAAGACTCTGAAGAATTTTGTTTCAGTGCAGAAGCAAATAGTTTTGATGGTGATGATGAATTTGACACCTATAATGAAGATGATGAAGAAGATGAGTCTGAGACAGGCTACTGGATTACATGCTGCCCTACTTGTGATGTGGATATCAACACTTGGGTACCATTCTATTCAACCGAGCTGAACAAACCCGCCATGATCTACTGTTCTCATGGGGATGGGCACTGGGTCCATGCTCAGTGCATGGATCTGGCAGAACGCACACTCATCCATCTGTCAGCAGGAAGCAACAAGTATTACTGCAACGAGCATGTGGAGATAGCAAGAGCTCTACACACTCCCCAAAGAGTCCTACCCTTAAAAAAGCCTCCAATGAAATCACTCCGTAAAAAAGGTTCTGGAAAAATCTTGACTCCTGCCAAGAAATCCTTTCTTAGAAGATTGTTTGATTAGTTTTGCAAAAGCCTTTCAGATTCAGGTATATGGAATTTCTGAACCTATTTTAAAAATCATAACATTGATTTTAAAAGTATGTTTTTATTTTTGTTTATTTAAAATGCCTATGTTTTCTTTTAGTTACATGAATTAAGGGCCAGAAAAATGTGTTTATAATGCAATGATAAACAAAGTCACTCTAGAACCTATACATTTTGAAAATATTTTACCCGAATACTCAATTTACTAATTTATTCTTAACTGAGAATTTCTGATCTGACTTTTTTTTATTCAACAAAACTTAAACACCCAGAAGCAGTAATAATCATCAAGGTATGTTTATATTTCTTACATGAGTCTTGGTAACAAATAACCTATAGAGTGGTTATGACAAATTTAGCCAATAATGAAATTAACACACAAAGGAATTAATTATTTTGTGCAATATAACAATTCAGCAGTTGGCCAAAACTTAAAAGCAAGATCAACTACGTCCCACACCAGTGTTCTTTATATACATTCAAGCAACCCCCTGGATTATGCTTATGAACAAGTTAGTTCCTCATAGATTTACAGATGTAGATATAAATATACATATACATATACATATAGATAATGTTCTCCACTGACATGAACGAAGAAATAAAAATTTACATCAAGTTTGATATGTTTTCTTGAATTATTTGTGTGCATTTTCTTTAAGGATTTCTCCTCCCCATTATATGATGTATGAATGATGTGCCAAAGTCAGTCATTTTAACGAATTATTTGTGGGCGTTTTCATGGAAAATTGAAGCCCATTGCTGCTTAGTACTCTGGAAAAAGGAAATGAGTAAGAATACAATAAGAAAGGCCCACCAAATAAATCTCGTGGAGAATAATAATATTGATTATTTCCCAAAATAATATGTTAGAATTTCATCGCATTTACAGGTAGAAGATTTAAACAGAGGAAAAGAAATGTATTTGTGTGCGTGCGTGTGTAGTTAACATGTGGAGATTGCTGCCAGTGAATATTATAAAATCAGTGATCTTGCCAAGGTTTCATTAGACACTAGCTAGGATGAAACTAGTGTTAATTTTAAGGTTTCAAGAAATGACTGTTAATTTTAAGGTTTCAAGACATCGGTTGATAGCTAGATTACCTTAAAAACAGCTAGATTACCTTAAAAACAAATTTCTTTCCTCCTGGAATATTTTCCTGAAAAAAAAAACACACACACACACATTTTTCTGGAAAAACCTTAACTTAAGAGCTTCAGTTACAGTGGAGACTCTTACTTTTCATTGGAAGTCTACACTGTGTAAGGTACAACTAGCAAATTTAGGAGAAACATGAATTATACAAGAGATGAAACACTGGAGCACAAGTTCTTCTGCTGATAGTTCCATGTCCCAGATACTGAAGTTAATTTTGATAAACTGAATCATGTTCACTCTGTTTCAATAATGTTGCTCGCTGAATATTCCTGTTGAACAATTGTTGCACGTTGATTTGATCTTTTGTTGTTTCCATCACCTATGTAAAAATAATAAAATATAAAAATCTTCTGTTTATATTGATTTACTCAAATTATTAAGATATGTTACCTAAATAACGGCAAAATTAAACTAATTTTTTCAGGATCAATCCACTTTGATTTTTTTTCTATTTGTTAGTAGAAAATGGCACAAGTTGGAGTGAAAATACGCTTTACAGAGTCCAAAAGTGAAATTTCCCCAAGGAGTAGGTATATTCTGTCTTCTTGATTTGTCTGCAGTGATTTGGTGGCTAAAGAATTATTACTACATATTTATTTTGTAGCCAACGAATCCAGATATGGTAATCTAAGTGATTCAATTGTGAACTCACTGAGTTTCTTAGTCAAACTCAGATCTCACCAGCATAGCTGCTTTTGGGGGAGGGTGTGTGTGTGTGTGTGTCAACAGCATGCAAATTGGTTATACAGATTATATATTTGAGTAAAATTAAGTCTTTTTTATGTCATCTCAGCAATCAGTTTATTCGATGTGACTTTAAGATAATGTCGTTGCTTTTCTAATAAGCTAATGCAAACATTCAAATGAGCCACGTTAGAAAAGCAGACACCATTTCAGCAATATTACTTTTGCCAAAAATGTTTCAGGGACTCACATTTCAATCAATCACTTTCAGAATCCATGGTTCATTCCCTTGAAGGTGTTCAACAGCTGTACCTCTTTCTTCATTAAAGATGGATTTAATTTCTGGAAACAGACAAGTGTCATTTGAAATCTAGCAGAGTGAGATTTTCAGTATTACACTACCACTTTAGATCAAAAACAAAGTGTGAATACAAGCTAAAAAAATGGATTTTCTGATATGGCTTATAAATGGATTTTAAAGGAAAGTCCCAAAATTGTTTGCACAAGACTACAGGAGTAGTATCAAGAAATAAGTATATGGCTTCCCAAGGTAATCATTTCAGGGGACTATACAAGTCTGTAAGTACAGGTGAGTTCAGTGTTTTAGGGGAAAGGGAAAGCATAAAGAAAAAGAAATTGTTATTCCAAAGGCTCTGGGGAGAGATGAAGCTTGTCACATTTGAAGAACTGAAAGGTCAGCCTGGTTAAAACACAGTAAACAAATAGTGGTGGAATGGCATGAGCCCAGAGAGCCTGGCAGGGGCTAGGGATCCAATTCTTCATCAGTAAAATAAAATCACTAAGGGCCAAGCACATTATTATAAACTGAAAAATAATGTATACTCTTGTTATATGTGTGTTCAAAAACATAGTTTCATTATTCTCTATCATTGTGAAATAAATGCAGACACTGAGTAAAAATTATTTAAGAGGGTATTTGCCAGAGATTTTACCATAATAAACATACATAATACACATTCTAACTGACAAATACAAGATCTAGACCACACATCATCAAGGATTACATAAAAATATTTTAGATAGCCTAAGTTCTATTCACTCTTTATATCCTAGTTTAGATACCTCCTCTCTCTAGAAGACTTCTCTGAACCCCACTATCTTTTACAGCTTAAATACTCAGGGTGCAAGAAATAAACTTGGCTGTATTTTTCTCTAACTCAGCTTACATACTATTATGCATCTCTTTGGCAGTATGCTGGAAATATAATTTCAA